CTGCATAACTCAATGAGCCAAGAGTTTCCTAATGATTAATGCATGACATTCCAAAGTCATGCACAGGGAAGAGTCATCCAAAATGCAAGACAGACCAGTGGTTTTGATGTAACAGAGCAAGGAAGGTTTATTAAGATGTGTACAGATTCCACATGGCAAGTGACTGTTCAAAAATACCACTTGTTCAGTTCTGGTGTAATATCAAAGAAGGATATCCACAATTATCTGTTCAAGGCCATTCAAATATTCCTCCCTTTCCATATGCATATGTGTTTGAGGCCAGAATGTCTTCATGTCCTTTAACAACATTTACAACAGACTGAGAGCAGACTCAGAGAGGAGAATCCAGCCATCTTCTTTTAGAACAAGAGATTTGCAAGAATATAAAAACAGTGCCACTCGTCACACTAAGTGGAATTTCTTTAAAAATATGGTTATTTTTCATAAAAGCATGTGACATATACTCACATGTACTGGGTCTAGTATTATCTTTAATGAACTGAGAAAAGCTTCCAATGTCGCACTCTTAATTTCTAATATGGTAAATCATAGTAAATATAACGCACGTCAGCACGAGCTCGTTGGGCTCTCAGTAATGTGACATGTGTAAAGGCATCCTGAGAGCAAACGGTCGGACACCGGCTACTCTAGGACTTATGCCTCAGTCTCCTGGACATGGTGAGTGATCGTGAGCCCCCTTGGTCCTGGGTGCCTTGCACCTGTAAGGGTCCGTTCTTGCTGCAGGGCACACGGCTGCCCGATGGACTACGTGTTAGCGGTTTCACAGAAAATGAACACACGTTCTTCGTGTGTCCTTCCCTTGTGGCCAGCCACCCTCCTGGTGGAGGGCAGACATCACCGGCTGTCTTGTTTCATGAACGTCAAGGACAATGATGATATTTCTTTCCTGCTACAGACTACATTTCTGTTTACTTAAAGGAAAAGAATTTTTAAAGTCTTGGAGTTCCAAAATCTCAAACACTGATTTATTCAAATATTGATCCTTCTTGATTTGTGCCGGTGGTTTGAAATGAAGGGCCTAACCAGGTATATAGTTTTTATTTTTTATTTTTTTTATTTTTTATTTTTTTATTTATTTGACAGAGAGAGATACAGCGAGAGAGGGAACACAAGCAGGGGGAGTGGGAGAGGGAGAAGCAGGCTTCCTGCCTGACCAGGGAGCCCGATGTGGGGCTCGATCCCAGGACCCTGGGATCATGACCTGAGCCGAAGGCAGATGCTTAACGACTGAGCCACCCAGGCGCCCCACCAGGTATATAGTTTTAAAATGGAGAAGATCGCAGTTCTTGCAAAAGAATGAAGAAATTCATTCCATTTCCAACACAGATCTATTCCCAGGTGGCCCAGACCACTAACAAGGAATACATCAAGGTTTCACCTCATCGCTGGCCTCAGTTTCCCCTTCTGTAAGTGAGGCCCTTCAAGGGCCCTTTCCACACACAAGCTCTGTGCCTTCAACTCACAGTCTGCCAGCACTTGAATGGCTCAGTCAACTCCACATGAGAACTGTGGGTACTGAGGTTTGCACACCTGACACTGCGTGTTTCCCATCCCCCCTCCACGCACGCCTCACAAATTGTGTGATCTTGTCTGGCTGTCACAGGAAGACCAGAAAAAGGTTATATTTGCTGAAATGATTTTTCAAGTGTGCTTATTATATTTCCCATCCCTGCCAAATTTAGGCAGTTGTTCCAAAGAGGATAGCATTTAAAAGGTGCACATAACGTTTCTGTAATGTGAAGGGAGAAAACTTTCTAGAGGCTGGCGTCTCTGGCCGCAGCATCCACCTAACACTGTGTGGCAGGCGGGCACATCATCTGACAGGATTGTCCAGGCTGGCCTGGTCGAGCGGCCATGGCGTCGTTGAAGGGAAATAACCTAGGTACAGGAGGGCTTTGTGTCTGCAGAGGATGCTAAGGAAGTAAGAAGCCTGCATGGAAATAATTCTTCCCTGAAAATATTTCTTTTTTGATTGCAAATTTGCATTCAAGGAGAATTTTTTGGAATAGAGGTGTAATTGGCATACACCATTGTATTGGCTTCAGGTGTACATCATCATGATTTGATATTTGCACATAATGCAAAATGATCAACCACAATAAGTCTACTTAACATCTGCCAACACACATAATGACAGAATTATTTTTCTTGTGATGAGAACTTTTAAGATTTACTCTCTTAGCAACTTTCAAATATGTAATACGGTATGATGAACGATGGCTCCACGCTGTCCATTTCTGTTGTTCGAAGCCGTCCGGTTTGTGGCATTTTGCCGTGGCACCCCTAGGAGATTAATATACTGCCCAAATATGTTCTCCATACAGAAGCTCAGGTGATCTTTAAAAGTGCAGACCTCATCATGTCCCTAGGTCCCCAGGGCTCTCGGGACAGAGTCCAGCCTGCTCTGTCCCTGCCGAGTACCCAGCTTCCCGCACCCTCCACCCCCCACCACACCATCCCTCACCTTCTGCAATCCACTAACTGTTGTCCTTAAATGGGGGCTTAGCAAATTAATCAGGCAGAGCATCAATGCTGACAGTTTTTTAAAGATAAGTCGATTTAGAATTTTCCAGGTTAAAAAATAGCAACAACAACATAACAGACTTTGCTCACTGTCTGATTTTGTTTTCTCAAACCCTCCCTCCTCTCTGATCTTGGAAGCCTGCCACAGCCCAGAGCAGAGGATTCATGAATCCTCGGGACCAGAAATTACCCTACGAGAAGGGCAGGACTCCCCTTCCATGACTTATCATTGAATCTGGATCCAAGACGAAAACCTGCAGGGAGTCACAACTTTATCACTTGCTTTATGTCCCCCAGACAGCAAGGGTGTGGGGGCAGAGGAAAACTGTTGTAGGCAGAACAGCGCTCCAATAGGACGGGGACTGGCGTTAAATGTAGAGCTCAGAGGAGGGCCAGTGGGCACCTGTTTTGGAGGTCCCCTGAGATGGCTGTAAGCCAACTTTGGGGCCAACGAAAGGATTGGGAAGGAATGGGTTATTTAGAGCCAATTCAGCAAGGGACCGAACACCCACTGGGCAGAAAGCTCTTTGCCCTGTTAAGGGTCCAGGATGGGGACTGCAAAAAACACCTGATTCTTTTTGTAGCACACTCTTTTCCCTGTCTGGATCCCCTGGAACCGGTCCAAAGCTGCTTTCACCAAACACTGAATGACCACCCCCAGTCCACTCCTTGCTGCGTGACCCCCCTCAACACCTCCTCAGACATGCATCAACTTGGCTGGGCTCTGTGCTTAGACAACAGAGAAGAGGAAAATGCACTTGTGTTTTCTGATGAGCCCAGAAAGGGGCAAGGGCAGGAGCAGGAGAAATAGGGGGACAGGGTTTGACGATTAAAACAGGCTATTGTGGGGCGCCTGGGTGGCTCAGTCGTTAAGCGTCTGCCTTCAGCTCAGGTCATGATCCCAGGGTCCTGGGATCGAGCCCCGCATCGGGCTCCCTGCTCCATGGGAAGCCTGCTTCTCCCTCTCCTGCTCCCCCTGCTTGTGTTCCCTCTCTCGCTGTGTCTCTCTCTGTCAAATAAATAAATAAAACCTTTAAAAAAAAAAAAAACAGGCTATTGACAGGACTCGACGAGGTATGGGAGATAAAATGAGAGTGCTATTTTGTTGTTGTTGTTGTTGTTGTTATTTATTTATTTGCGAGAGAGAGAATGAGAGACAGCATGAGAGGGAGGAGGGTCAGAGGGAGAAGCAGACTCCCCGCCGAGCAGGGAGCCCGATGCGGGACTCGATCCCGGGACTCCAGGATCATGACCTGAGCCGAAGGCAGTCGCTTAACCGACTGAGCCACCCAGGCGCCCCGAGAGTGCTGTTTGATTAAGGGCATTCACAACTGGAAATGGCAAAAAGGGACCGAGAAAATCCTCCAAACGCCGAGCAACTGGCGCCAAACAAGGCACTCGCGGCAGCAGCAGACCTGCACGAGAGCGCTGGGTCACACACGGCCCCCAGCGTGTTTACTCTTCCATCCCCGCGTGCAGCCCAGAGCAAGCGGGAGCATGGGTGGCAGATGCGTGTTGCCAACCCTTCGCCGTGGCTACAAATCCAGAAGGACAGGGACGTATGGGCACACGGGCCCAGCCCACCTCTTCCTTCACAGGACAGGGAAGAGCAAATATTAGCTCCATTTCCAGGTAAAGAAAATGAAGCTTAACAAGGTCAGCTTAAAGCCATAAAGCCCAGGCCACCCCACAGATCAGCTCCGTCTGAACCTCTGGGGAAGGTGTCCAGGCCTCCAGAGTTGGACGGCTCCCGAGAAGAGTCCAAGTCGAGCTGAGGTGAGGACCAGGGTCAGTGGTCAGCCCAGACCACCAGCCGGTGGCGGACCAGCCGGGTTTGGATGCTGAGCATCCCGGTCCTGACCGACCGCTGGCCCTGGGCCAGCCACTTCGGGAGAACTGGACATAATAGCCTTGAGATCGCCCCACCCGTCCTTGGAAAGCCATGGAGTTGGCAGCAAGTCGAGTGCAGTCCTTCCATCTGAGCTGTGGCCAGGGGTGGGGGCAGGAGGCTAAGTCCTCCCCCACTCTCAGTTTGCTCATATTGTCTGTCAAATCACAGCTGAGATTGTCTCAGTCTTACGTGAGGTGTGAACAGAAGTACCCTTAGAAAGTCTGGGTTAACACAAATCTAAATAAAAATGGTGTGAACTCTATAAACCAGTTTAAGATGAGTCCCCTTCCCCCGTCTCCTGCACGGCCCCAAACAGGTTGTCACCCAAACCCCTCCTTCGTATACGTTCGGGAGCTCCGCTGCCGATGCCCCACTCCAGGTGTGCAGACCCCAGGCTCCCCCCGACACCTGCGCTCCTCGCGGGGCCCGGCCAGAGCGCTCTCCTCGGTCCCTCCGCCGGCCTGTCACCCCAGCAGGGGCACAGCCAGCAGGGGCTGTGCCGTCAGTCATGGGCCTTCATGCTCACGGAGCCCAGCCCGGCTTCCAGGCACCTGCCTCAGCTCACCTGCAGCAGCAGAAGCAACACTGGAAGCAGGAGCAGCGAGGTGTGGCTCCTGGAGCCCATGTCCACGTGGGGACGCGTGCAGGTGGCCACAGGTCCTCCCAGGCAGCCGGCGTCCCCCACAGCCAGGCCTCTAATCACCGATCACTTCCTTCCCAGCCCAGGTGTTCTGTTGCTCCAGGGACACTCCTGTCCTTGGCACTCTGCTCTCCTCTCTCCCGTCCTCCGTCCCAGCCGCACTTGCATTTATCAGAGTGGGCTGGGCTGAGCCTTCAGCTTTAACCTCACAGTGACAACCGAGTTCCCAGGAAGGGAGTGGAGGGGAATGAAACATGCCCTGCCTCACGTGCACAGATTCGGGCTGGAACCCGGCCCCGGGGGATGACCCCAGCCTTAAAAGGCCCCACAATCTCTGTCTGAAGCAGGATATTTTAATGACTCTTTCCTATAACCCCTATGCTTTCAAAGGAGAGCAGTGGAAAAGGACTCCAAGAAAGAAGGACTTGATTAAGGAGAGAAACCCAAATGCTTTCACTTTCCAAAGCACCAGCGGATCTTTATCCCAGCTATGTCTCAGGGCTCTGAGATTTCTACCCAAATCTCTGCTAAGCTTAGCTGACTCTGCCCTTGTGACTTTGGGATTGAAGGAGGATGGAGAGATGGAGAGAGACGCCCTACAGGTGGGGGCCTCTCTGTGCCAAACTGGGGGTCTTGGCACTCGAAGACCAGGGGGAAAAAAGGCAAGCAAGGATTCTACGCAATCGATACTCAAGGTCACAATGACTGAGTTTAAAACAAAATCAGAGATCCATTAACCGGATCACCTGAACATTGTAGTTTGTTACCACATCTTGTTTAAAATAACAAACAGTTCTTTAGCAGATGGAGAAGGTAGGAGAAGGGAACCTTCCTCCCTGTGCATTCACAGCTCCGTGAGATGCCGCTGAACACTGTCATTTGAGAAATTTATTGTCTGAATCTGAATCAGTAGCTTATTATTGGAAAGAGGAACAAATGCAATTTTAAGGTCTCTATTTCACGTGCATTAATAGAAATGGAATAATAATTATCGAATTTACAACTTCATGCTTATTTTCAAAGTGGGTATTTTTATTCCATGGTAGTCTACAGAAAATTTGATTAAGTTAGAATCGTTAATTCAGGATTCATAGATCAGATAAGCTAAACCATGTCAAATGTTTGCGGGAGAAAAAGAAGATGCAGGGTAGGCAGCCCTTCCATGGAATAGTGCTGAGAGAGAGAACATCGAGCAAGAAGGACGGTAAGCCGGCCTCCAGAGATCTGGAGAGGGGCTGGGGATGCGAGGAAACGGCTCTATTTTTACATTTCTTGCAGCTGAAAGAACTTGGTCTTTTCATATATTAGAAACAGCCAAATTTTCAACACCCTCAAACACTGAAAAGTAACGGAGCAAGATGTCGGCTTCCCCTAGGCCATCTTTCTCTCATTGGGGCTGAGCGGTGGTGGGCTTCACCTGCCGCAGGGCACGTCTCAGATGAGTGTCACCTAGAAGGTGTCAAGGTTCCCTCTCCGTCCTGAGCATCTGCGATTGCAGACTCCAGTGGTCCTGTGTCCTAGGACGTGCACTAATACTTTGCAGCCACAAGGGGGCAGCTCCCCGATGCAGGTAACCTGAGAGACGCAATGTAGGTGCAGGTGGTGGAAAAGGAAGGAATGAGCGCTAATTACCCGGACTCGACAGCCTCACCTCCAGCTCTCAGGATTCTCTATCGCGACAAGCACATCATGAGTGCTGCTGAGGATGAATTTCGTCTCGAATCATCCATGATAGGCAGGTTCCCACCAACACCAGGCACTCGCTGAGTGTCATTTTTTCGGGATCCTTAGTGAAGGCAGCTTGAACACATTGTTCTCCATCTCTGCAGGGTTCACGGAAGACTTCTACTGGCCCAGGAAGTGGTGAGTAGGACCTTAACTGAAAACGAGGTAGCATTACATTCACAACATTCTAAGAAGATACCCCAACAATTAAGACCAGACACTTCAGGACCCCCAAACCATGGCAGAACTGGTCCCGTCACACCCACCCCCCCCCAGCCCTCTCTCTGCCACTGTGGCCGTGGACGTGAGGGGTCCCAGGGCCGGGGGTCGGCTGCTTTCTGCTCACCTCATTTGTAGCTGGAGCTGCCTTGCCCGCCACCCCCCCCCCCCACAACTGGGGAGGGATGGGAAGATTTCTTTCCATTTCGGGAAGTCGGTGGGTTAGATTTTTCTAGGGAATGGAGTCCCTGGTAATGGGTGGGGGTGACTGCAAAGCTGGGGGCCTGGAGCCCCATCCCAGCAACACTTGGACAGCGGTCGGGCTGACCGGGCCCACGCGCAGCTAAGGAGACGGGCTCTGTGGCGGACAGCAGGGCCTCGAGAGGGTGCAGGAAAAGTGCCCAACGCTGCCTCCATCCTGCGGGCCAGGAGACAGAGCTTCCCCTGCCGGTCAAGTCAATGTCAAAGAAGGGGCATGGTGGGCTGAGCCTTCTTGCTGCTCCCGAGAGGGCTGCTGTGCGGGGAGGTGCAGACAGGCCCAGAGTGTGACGTCTGGACGCCTTCTGAATGGGGCGAACCAACCTCGGTGGAAGTGTGGAAGGCGGTCACGGAAACACGGGATATGGCCGCACGTGCGCTGGAGAGTGGGCAAAAGCAGCTGGAAACGGGGGGGGGGGGGCAGAGCAGGAAGCAGGCAGGTGGGGGGACAGGGCGGAGAACAAGCCGTGAGCAGTGGCATCTACACAGTGAGCATGTGGGCGTTCACTGTACAAGCCTTTCAACTTCTCTGGATGTTTGAAAGTTTTCATAACGTGATGCTGGCGGGGAAAAAAATCGGAAAAGTGAATTTGACTCCAGCGCTGAAAAACCCAAGTTATTATTACGTGTACTCTGAGCCTAGTGTCTCCTAGTGTGCATCTAACACATGTACCCCAATTCCTGACAAGTGTAAGAGCCAAAGGGTAGACCTCCCGTGAGGTTAGAACAACTCCTCACTTGTCTTTCCTGATCTGCCCTAAGGGGCCGAGACGTTTTCGTCTGCCCCACATTGCTGCTGTGGTAGCCACAGGGGCCGAGGAGAAAATGTGGTGCTTATGTTTTAGCATTTTGTCAGCCACCAAGGGCTGCCCGGAACATTTCCTTGGAGAAACTTTAGTCTCTTGCCCCCATTTGTTCAACTAGTAGTTGTAGGTGAGCAAATGGGGGCGGGGGGAGGGAGAACACTGCAAGTGTAACAGATGGGAGTGTTTCTCGCTTTTTGCAAGTATATTTTATACTAATTATATTGATAGTGGAAGCACCGAGCTCTTTTTTCAGTTATTTGTGTATGTGAATGTTTTTATGCTTTTTCAGGGAAGAAAGGAGATAAGGAGCGGAAGAGAGAAATTTGAGGCTGCTTAGTGTATCTTCTCACGTCAAAACTGTCCTGAGCAGGGGCAAAATACATACTTCTTTTAATTAGAACATCTTCAGCTGAACCTGGTAGATCATTCTTCTCATTATTGTATAAGACCTACAAGGATAAAGCATTTCATTCCAGTAGTTAGAAAAGTGAGCAACACAGGACCAAAGCACAGTCCCTTCCCTTACTGTACGAAGGCGGGTGTCTGGTGAATTGCCAAGGGTCTCGTTCAGAGACTTTCATACTATAGGGGAGGTAAAATTTGACCTTTACTGTCATAGGAGAGGGAACATAATTTTACTTCTACCCTTCTAGGTTCTCGACTGAGACCTCCTGTAAGAAAAGACAGATTCACAGGAGAAAAACAAACAGAAGTTTAATAACACGTGTGCTCCCTGTACATGTGGGAGACACCCCAGAAGACCAAGGAGCTCCCTGAAATGATTCATGCTGCCTCCTTAAATACTACCTCCAGCTAAAGATAGAAGATGTTCATTTGTTTTGTTTCTTAAATTCCACATAAGGGAATGGAAGTAAAAATAAGATGAAACTTGAGAGGGAGGTGAACCATAAGGGATGCTGAGCTCTAGGGAACAAACTGAGGGTTGCTGGAGGGGAGGTGGGTAGGGGGACGGGGCCACTGGAGGATGAGCACAAAGGAGGGCATGTGATGGAGTGAGCACTGGGTATTACATGCAACTGATGAATCACTGGATTCTACCCCGTGAGGTTACCAGGAAAAGCACAATAAGTGGGTATGGCTGTTTTGCAGATTTAATTCCATGCCTTAATGAGATAAGAGTCGATAAGCATTTCTAGGATCCTCTTCCTCTTCCTGGTCCAGAGAGGGAGACACGCCCCAACACACGGGGATCTCCCCTGTGCATCTCTTACACTCCGCTTTCAGAGCTTTTCCTGTGGCTGTGCTGTCCCTTAAAAATATTTTGGGGTGGCAAACTGCTCCCCTGCACCCTCTTTGGGTCCTTTTCGGCTGGTGCTGATAATTAAGTCGACATAAGATCAACAGGAGAAAAAAGCAGACCGACTGTGGAATCCCAGTTCTGCAAGATGCGGGGGCCTTGAGAAGGAATGAGGGCCCGGAGAAATGGTGGGAGTCACTGGCTTTGCTAATAGGTTGAACAAGGAGAGGCAGTTGTAGAAAACGTCTTCGGCTATGTGGGGAGACTAAGGAAGACAAGAGCCTTTTAACAAAATCTGTGCAGAATTCTTCTCAGTCACCGCTTCTCATCCCCGACGGTAAGAATGTCTCTTTCTTTCTGGCACCGGGAGGACGTCTCTCCTACAGGAATTTCATCTCCTGCTTTGAAGAGAAGGAAGAAAGGTAAGAGTGTTTTTCTTCGACTTGCTGTTTTTCAAGTGCCTTTAACTCAAGGTAGGCAATGTGCCAGGTGGCGGATTTCGGGGCGACGCGTTGGGAACTCCTTCACCTGCAGCAGGTGCCAAGGCAGGGCTCGCCACGGGAGGAGCAGGGCCACGGAACCATGCCGGCTGACTGGCATCACAAGTGAGATGTGCATTGGCTTTCTCTAAAATATCATTTGAGCTGGGACAGTTGTATTCGTGACTACCCCATTTTTAAAATTCCACATACGTTTCCCAGTGTTATCACAGTTAATTCCTTCAATAGCAAATTGCTGAGGACGGGGATATTTGGATCCTGTTGTTTGAAGCACGGACTCTAGGAAGATTTTTACAAATTAATGATCTATGTTCCTCCACTGACCATTATTCTGTGCTTGATATAGTTGTTGTATGATGTTAATCAAACAAGGAGACCTTTAGACTGAGGTGGTTTTAGGTTAGGTCGAGAGGTTTCGTTGCCACCTCATGGATAATAAAACAGCAACATCCAAGAATAACCTGCCATTTTATGTACAAATTTATGATTTAAAACCCCAACATGGTTCATTTTCCAACTACCAGGAAGTTTATTTTTAAACCTGCTGATAAAAAGACCACAGGCCCATATGGGGTGACTTTGCCCAGCCAGCCACAGAACGCAGCCTTATTTGGAGCTTGGGCTGTCCCAGAGTGGGATCTTCAACCAGGCGGTCAGGAGTCATCTGATCAGCACTAGGGAGGCCATTCACCTGATAAGACCCCGGCCGCTGGCCCCCGAAAGGAAAGTGAGCTTGCAATCACCCAGCCACCTTCTTGTCTAGTACAACTTCCTGGTGCCCGCTCCCTTCTGCCTATAGAAGTCCTTCCTTTTGCACACTCCTCGGAGCTCCTTTCCACCTGCTGGCTGGGATGCGGCCCGACTCACGCATCATTAAATAAAGCCAATGAGATCTATAAAATTTTCTCAGTGAAATTTTGCTTTTTAATGCCCCCGGAATTATGTTTTAAACCGCCACTATTTGGTAGACTCAAAAGAATGCCCCTTCTTGTCAGAAGGGAGTTTAGAAAAAGGAGCAAGGGGACTTTACGAATGTTCACGGCTCCAGGTGCACTCCTGGGAGAGCGCCGGCGCTCAGTCCGGGAGGGGCCCGTTGGTGCGTGAGCTCCTATCATGTCACTTTACTGTTAGTGAATTTCCGTCCTGCCTCCCTAACTGTTGGACACCTCTGGGGGGAACAGGAGGAACAGGGACTCGGGAAAACACCCGTGGTGCTTCTCAGATGCACCTAGTCATGTTGGCAGGTGCGTTGCTGAGTGTTAAGAAAGGACACAGAGCAGAGTCTCCTGCCCAGCGGATCTGTGAGATGACCAGGCAGAGATGAGACCAACTCAGGAAGAGAACTGCACGAAAAGCAAAACAAAACCATGCCCAAAAAACCCAGGCAACATCTCCTACTGTTTAATTGACCTCAAGAGAGGAAAAATCCAGCTTCACAAAAACTTAGACGTGTTTTGTTTTATTATGTACAAAACCAAGCATACAATAATTTAACAGCAAATAGCAAACATGCTCGATCGGGTCAGGCCGTGTGAAATGGACCTCAGTACACGGACATAAATAAACCATAAATACTGGTTCTCTGTTACCTTGAAACACAATACCGTCAAGAGTTTTCTATTTTTAACTACTTAAGTAAGTGAGCATAAAGAGGAAATAGACAGTATTTAGATCACGGAAGGTGGAGATTGTTCCGTCTTTCGGTAAACTAGCCTACTGGCTTAAGAACCAGGACAAGCCTTCCTCCTTTCAGCCTGTAGCTGCTGTGAGACCAGCGATCTTTGTCAACACAGGCACCCACCCTGCCCTGCTGGTCAGTTACGAACCTTCAGCCAGTGTGGTCCTTAAGGAGTTGAGAAGTAGTCTCAAACTAAAGAACTGTAGCTAATACTGATAGGTTTTTGCAGTTTGTTCTTGTATGTTTTTACAACTTTTTCCATTAACTGATTCTAAACCTTCAGTAGCTCTTAACTTTCTCTACACTTTTTTTTTTAAACCTTGGATTATTTTAGTTGGTTTAAACACAACATGTATGTCAACAACTCCCACAAATGAGAGGCACTTCTCTGAAGACAATGACGTGTCCCCAGACTAGCAAGACATGGGCGCTGTCTGCGGGAAAGCGGTGGGATTCTTGTCTGCAGCATTTAGAACAGGAGGCTGTGTCAGGGGTGGGGATCGGAAACCGTGGGAATGAAATTGTGCTTATGTTCTCTAGTGAGCCCCTGCTGTTCATCAGGAGCTCTGATCCAATCGCAAGAATCCTGGTTAAAATAAACCGTCAACCTGAGGCAAAGTCACTTTTTCAGGCTTTTCAAACTGTCGTAACATGTGGCATTATAACTGTTCCCCAAATTAGGCAACCGACTTCAATTCAGAGAGCAAGGAACAAATGTGGCATCCGAGGCACCGCCTCTCAATTTCCTAATCAGGATGGTCTTTGGCTCAGACGTCCACAAGGCAAAGTGAACACGGGGCCTTCACCCAGCAGGGCCTCCAAGGGGACCCACACACAGCATTCCTGGAGAAGGCAGCAGCTCACCGAAACCCCTTAGTGTTAATAATGGGAGTATGTGTATGTGTATGATGCGCTTACGGAGATTTATCAGCCCTGAAATGTTCTAAAGAGCTGCGTAAACATGGTAGCTGAGAAAGCATCATGAATGAGGGGTAGCGCCGGCTGGGTACAAAGGACTAGTCCCCCTGAGCTCACAAGGAGTGCAGGCAAAGGGCACAGGCGACGCCACGCAGCAACCACAGAAGGGTGAAGTCAGAGCAGTGCGAGGGTTTCAAACTGCAGTGCATATACTGAGTAGAAAAGTTACAATATAACTGAGAACTGGGGAAGTAAGGCCCACTAGATGGGCGTCTTCGCCCACATAATAAAGCTACAAGATCTTCGTGTAACAGCATGCTGTCTCCCATGGAGGGGTGTGAAAGGTAAAGAACGTAAGACAGAATCTGTGAAGATCTAGAAGTCAAGTCGTGGGAGAAAAGAAAGCGGCCCTAAAAATCTGTGTATGTTGTTTTATATTAGTAAAGTCTGATTTTAAAACGGGATCTTAACATTTAACTTGTGCGCATTATTTCATTTACAAATGTCTCTGGTCGTTATCCTACTAACTGAAGGGCTTTGGATGACATGGGCTGTTCGGGGGAGTCTGCGAGCTGGTACACACTTCCAAAGGAAAAGTGCCAAGTTCTTAATTTGCCCTAAAGGTGAAAAAATAGAAACATGTATGGATGAAAACAAATACTCATTTAAAGAGAGAAAATCGGCCACAGTCATTAAAACATACCGTACATCCAGAAGTCAACCAAAGGTTTTAAAGAGAGGCACACACAGACCTGGCTTAGTGGCAGTTAAATAAGAAGCATCTAGAAGAGCGAGGGAGCCAGGGGACCCGGGAAGGATGTTAAGAAGACACTCCCTGCTCCATCTGGAAATGTGTCCTCACCCCTCTGCCCTGAAGCAAGGTGATAAAGTCCTGCTCTTGCAAAGTAAAACAGATTACGTCGGCTACAGACAGCAGGACCCAGGTCCCAAGTCAGGATGGGATGCCTGTGGTGGTCACAGTGCTTTCACGTCTATCCATGGTGGCAGGCATTCCCTGTACACGCTCCACATTGTGACTTTACCGCACACCTTTTCCAGAAGGCATACCTACGCCAGAAACACTCGGGGGCCAAATATTCCACTTTGGGCTCCTACCAGGCAGGAACAGTCCTGCTGAGACCCACGGACTCACACCTGGACCAAGTCTGGGCACCGCTCTAACCTCGGGGTAGAGAACACAAAGGTGCACTCCACCACCACCTCTGAGTTTAAAATGCCTTAAAAAAAAAAAAAAAAAAAAAGACCCCAAACTATGAAAGTATTAGATTCCATTGTCTGGAAAGAACAAGCAGCTCAGTGTTCATGACTTTGCTCCTAGGAGAGGCTCCTGAGCCTGTGGAAGGGCTGGAGCCTTTCCTGGGCCTGAAGTAGACAGAACTTCTGTTCAGACAGTTTAGGAGGAGGACACCAAGAACCCTATTTCAAACGTTTCAGAGTCTACGCAGTTGAAAGCGGTATGCACTACTTTCTACCTGTAGGTGCGCGGCGAGTGGGGAGCTGGACGGCGCCGCGGGCCGGGGTGCGGGGCTGGCTGCTACGTCCAGTTTACACCTGTCTCCCCCGTCGTTGTATGTCGTTATATGGCGCAGACCTGGTTAAGTGTTATCTAAAGGGCTCTCATTTGCTTAAGATGGTCAACACAAAGAAAGGCTCATTGAAAGCCACCTTTCTTTGGAAAGAAGCCCAGTGTGGCTGGGGTGAGGTGGGGTTGCCCCCACGGGACCCCTCGACGACTCACGTGTGGGTCATCAGAAATCCACAGTATGCTAACTTTCGGAAGAACTCTGACGTTTAGCCATCGGCAGGGCTTTGCAGTGCATCATTTCGGTTCTTACTTGAATTTGCATGTGCTTTGCTTTACTCCATTGGCTTTGGGTTTCTTCTCGCTGGATACGGTGGCGTGGGTGCACCTGCTGGCACCGCCCTTCTTCTGCAGGCCCACGTGTGCCTGCGGCCTGGGGGGCCCACCGGGGTCGGCGGAGTCCCGAGCGGGCACCCCCTGCGTGGGAGCTCCAGGGCCACCGCCATCACCGCAGGGCAGGTCCCCGCGCTGGAGTCTGGGGCTCTTACTCGCTTTCTTCCTCTGCTCCTCGGCCGTCACGTCGAGGGCTGGCTTCCGAGAACTCGGCCTGCTGCCCCGTCGCACGTGGAGGGTTTGGGGGGCCGTGTCAAGCGCGTAGTAGGAGGGCCTGGCTTCCTCGCGGGGCAGCTCCTTCCTCCGGGAAGCGCCGGAAGCGCCCCATTTGCAAGCCCCCTCCTGGGGAGGCCTGGCGGGAGCACTGGCCCCTAGCCTGCTTCTGCCGGGGCTTTTCAGGGTCCCAGACGTGGGCAAGCGGGGGGCGGTGGGAGGCCTGGCTCTGGCGCCCTTCCCCTTCTCGCCCTGGACGGTCTGTATCTGCAGCCACTCGAGCTGGGCCAGCCTGTCGACGTACCTGGCCAGCAGCCCCGCGGCGCCGCTCCGAGCTGCGGGCCTGGGCTCGGCGCCGGGCGGCAGAGCCAGGTCACGGAGGTCCCAGGAGCTGAACGGGGCGGGCAGGAGGTCCGCATATGGGTAGGCGGGCTGCGCGCTGCCCTGCGGCTCCGCGTCGGGGTCCCGACCCGGGTCCGCGCCGTCGATCTCCTCCGCGCGCAGGTGCAGCTCGGGGGGCGCGCGCGAGGACGGCGGCCCGGGCACCCGCTCCGAGTCCGACAGGTCGCTGGCGCTGTCCTCGTCCTCGGCCGCACCCTCCTTCAGGATTTTCATGCAGGGCAGGTCCAGAAACAGCTCGTTCCCCGAGGCGCCCCGCCGCCGGGGGCCCAGTGGGCTCCTTTCGGGTTTTCCTTCTGGGGAACCGCTTTCCTGGAGTCCATCCGCAGGAGGCTGGGAGGACACGTGGGGCCCTTGGGACTGACTCTGCCTTTTTCCTGAAGGGTTTTTTGGACGTTGTACTTTATTCCAAGATGGGCCAGCATTCATATTGCTGTGAGAAATAAAACTGTAATTCTTAGTTCATAGGACACAAAGAGGTCTGGCTGTGATTAAACAGACTCCTCGGGCTGCAGTCGGCGCTGTCCCCGGGAGGGGCAACGGGCCACAGCGGGCTCTAGTCGAGAAACACTTATCAGTATCCTTTTTTTTTTTTTTTAAGATTTTATTTATTTGACAGAGAGAGACACAGCGAGAGAGGGAACACAAGCAGGGGGAGCGGGAGAGGGAGAAGCTGGCTTCCCACCCAGCAGGGAGCCCGATGTGGGGCTCGATCCCAGGACCCCGGGATCATGACCTGGGCTGAAGGCAGACGCTTAACAACTGAGCCACCTAGGCGCCCCTATCAGTATCCTTTTTATAAAAAAGGAAACCATCGTAGGACGCAGGTGCCAAAAGGAGATGCATGGATTCTGTTTCATATCAAGTAGTATTATTTAAGAAAAATACTGACATTTCTTAAAGTGCTTATAATTTTAGACCAGTCATGTACACTTTAAAAAAAACAAACACCAGTTTGGAGAAAATCTGTTGTAAACTCTCAATCTGTTCTGCTATTGATGAACAGTGTTTAATGACACTAGCGAGTAAAAGCTAGAGCTTTCTTTTTCTTTTTTAAGATTTTATTTACTTATTTGACAGAGAAAGCGAGAGAGGGAACACAAGCAGGGGGAGCGGGAGAGGGAGAGGGAGAAGCAGACTCCCCGCAGAGCGGGGAGCCCTATGCGGGGCTCGATCCCAGGACCCTGGGATCATGACCTGAGCTGAAGCCAGACGCTTAATCGACTGAGCCACCCAACTGCCCCTACAGCTTTCTTTTTCAAGGCTGTTTTCCATGAAAAGAAAACAAGCTGTAAAATGCAAGTTTTATACAACTTAATCACCGATTGGTGGTGATTCTGAGCTGTCTAAAATCTTAATATCAAAAGAGTGTAGTACAGACAACCTATACCTCAAATCAAAAGCTTATTAAAGTATTTTCAAATAGGAAACACACTCAGGAAAACGGTTTAAAAGGAGAGAGAAAAAAATCATACAGTGCCTTAAAACAGAGAATGAATGAAAACATAAGATTACTGCTGTCTTATGAATGGCGGAGAAATGGGTATAATGACTAGCGGAGCAACTGGGTTCCCCCAGGGGGACTTACTCTGAGGCAGGATCTCCTATCAGAGTTGAAAATACTGTCTTTTCTGCGTATTTACCCAAAGCATAGCATCTCACTAGGATTCGTGATACTTCTCAGGAACACGGGTAGGGTAGAAGAAAATGAGTGGTCAACATGCTTTCTGGAAACCTCAGAGGTTCACCTGCCCAGTGGTTTCTACCACAGTAAGCAATCGTTTGAAAATATGTGATTTCTTAATAAATACGGAAGATGTTGAATCATGGTCAATAGCTATAACACATGCTCAGTATATGTTGAAGAAATGGATAAAGGAATTGTCCTTATTTGGAACTCATAACCAATCAATCCTGTCATACTGTCAGTGCACATCAATAAAAGTGATGATCAGTAGCCTCTTTATAAAAAAAGGAAACAATCATAGAAGGGTGATTAAGGGGCTTACCCAAAATGATAGACTCTGCTAACAGTTAACAGTGGCAGAAGTATGACCTCTGGAATTCTTACCAACTCTTAATGTTTAAAACCACTTTGCCCACTCATTTCTTTTTTTCTCATTTTTCTCATTTTATTTCCAGCCACACATATTCAGCCTGGAGAACTAATATAATGTGCCTTTTGCAAGATAAAGCAATTAAAATCATTTACCTGCTTTTCTGATGAGATTTCGTCACCCTATTCCCTTTCTTGAAAAAATCAGATGGCCGATCATCTTCTAGGGTTTGATGGACTGTCTAAAAAAACAGACATGGAGTCGTAAATACTGTGACAACAACCAACAACACACACACACACACACACACACACACACAAAACAGCAGAACAAATCTAGTAAGATTTTCCCTCAAAATTTACATCACCTTTTCTGTAGTGCTTGAAATATTCTTGCTCAATGTGTTGGCAGATGATGACAGCTGGGGAAGTGACTTCTTTATTCCTCTTATATTTGGAAAGGACTCCTCACCCCCGGAACTGGAAGCAACAGAACACTGTGGGTAAGTATGGATCGCAAAGTGTTCTGGCCACCAGTACTGAGCTTTCTTTCACTGGTTTGTTTTGAAATATTTGCATAGTATTGAAATGTTGGGGGGGGGGCTGGTACTGACTTCTGTTTACAGTTTCATCTTTTCTGCTTGTTTTTCACAGTGGATATTAGATACAAAATCACACTGCTATAAATGTTGCCAATGGAATGAATCCTTCTCTCTCTCCTTACACACACACACACACACACACACCACACCACACACAGAGCCTCCTCGGAAATAACACCTTCAGGAAATGTGTGGGGCTAATTAATAATTAAGGTCGGGTATTACTCCCATCTCCCATGTCCACTCATTCATTCATTCATTCATTCATTCAACAAGTAATTGCAAGAGAACCTTCAAGATGGCCAGGATTATGCACATATCCCCGCTCTCGTGGAAAGAGCACTCTATTGGGGAAGCTCCCCTTTAATTCTCCTGCCTTCAGGATCACATCAATTCCTTTAAAGATCGTCAGTATAGTAATACAGATCATATAATGTTATGTGTGTGAAATTCGGTTGACTCATATCAAGAATGCTGCTTTCCCTGATTTTGAGTGGGTGGCCTACTGAAAGGGCCCTGATTGGAAAGTGAATACTTTCTTCCATAATATCCCCTACCTTTGTAAAATAGACAAGAGGTAGGATAGAAGACTTTTTTCTTCCTGAAACTCTGCTGTATTACTTTTCATAAGCGTGTATGCCTTTTTAGCCAGAGTACACAGGCTCTCACAATAAATGACTTATACCCCAGGCTGGCTTTATTTTAGATGTAGAGAAGGTTCTTTGCCAACCCCCCTCAATAGTTTGGTCTTCCTTCTGCTTTGTCCCTCTGGACGGTAAAAAGGAACCCTCCAAGATGCCTGGCCCCAAGCTGCTGCCTGGAAAGCGCGTTTCCACCCTTCCCACTTCATTTCACTTGGCATGCTTTACACTGTAAGCGGCAGCATTTCGTGGGCAAGTTTCAGAGTGAAATAGGCAAAGAATGCTTGCAGGGTCCTAAGATGCAGAAAGCAAGCTCGCGGTTTCCCTGGTGGTTCAGGCCTGCAGCGGAACAAAGCTAAAGGTCTGGGATTCTGGCTACAAAAATGCTTCCCCAGCGCCAGCGGCCGATTAAGGGCAGTGGCATAATTCATCACAGGGCATTAACTCTGGTTCCCACATCTTCCTCTCGGGCCAGGGGCCAGGAGACTGAGCGCGGCAGCACCGCCCCCTCCCCACCCTCCAGGGAACGGGCCGGCGGTCCGCGGCAAAGCACTGTGGGTAACGTGTGGTCAGGACGCCAGCCGTCTACGCAGCGAGGCTCCCGCGGTCCGGCCGGGGCTTCAGGTTGCAGTGCGGACGTCCAAAGAGCTGGCTAGCCTACAGGCTTCAAATTAGCCAGGGCACCAGCTTCTGGAAAGGCCAGCTTTTGTGCACCCGCTGCCCCCACCCCCGCCCCAGGAACCCAGAAGTCCAAGGGCCCGCAGCATGCATTTTCCTCGTCCTCCGGTGGTGCAGACGCAGACCCACGATCGACAGGCGCAGGGACCCGGCAGACGCAGACAGGAATCGACCGGACCCGTCCGGCGATCGCCGAGGACACGTGACGAGGCCGCCCGCCAGCCTTCCCGGCGCCGGGCGGGGAGGCCGGACTGCGGCGCGCGGCGGCAGGGCAGGGGCGGCGGCGGCGCGCGGCGCGGCGGGCTCCCCGGCTGCGCCCGGCCGGCGGGGCCGGCGCGCGGCGGCGTCACGCGGGGCGGGGCGCAGGCTCTCGGGGAAGTTGCTCCGCGACGAGTTGCAGCCTCGTGAGCAACGCAGCGGGCGGGGCAGGCGGGAGGGGCGGCTCCGCCGGCGCAGCCGTCCCCAAGAAGGAAGGAGGAAGCCAAGGGGAGGTGCCACCCTGCGCTCCCGGGGCCCGGAAAACCTCCCCGCGAGAAAGCCCTCATCTCCAGGCGGACGATCGCCTTTCTCGCTGCAAGAAGCGGAAGAGCTGCGCCAGGACTCAGGGGGCGCGGTGGCGGACGGGGGAGCGCACAGCCGGCCCCAGAGGCTCCCTGCGGGCTGCGGTTTCGGCGGACACCAGGGAATTCCGAACGCCGCGGGGAGCCCGAGGTAGGGGACGCCGGGTCCGGGGAACGCCTGTCGGCTCCGCCTCCCGGTCGCCCGACGACCGGCCGGGCCATGTCCGGAGGCTGGGGCTCGGCGGCCCTGCCCCCGGCGCCGGGGTCCCGCAAGCCCGCCCCGCGGAGCCTCAGCTGCGTCTCAGACCTGGACGGCGGCGCCGCCCGGGAGCCGCGGCCCTGCAGGCCCCCCGAGAGCCCGGGCCGCGCGCCCCCTCCACCGCCGGAGCCGTCAGGCTGCGACCCCGGCCTTCGGCCCATCATCCTGCGGCGCGCGCGCTCGCTGCCCAGCTCGCCCGAGCGCCGCCAGAAGGGCGGGGGCGCGCCCGGAGCCGCTTGCCGGCCAGGCTGCAGCCGGCAGCTCCGCGTGCGCTTCGCGGACGCGCTGGGCCTGGAGCTGGCGCAGGTCAAGGTGTTCAACGCGGGCGACGACCCGTCGGTGCCGCTGCACGTGCTGTCGCGCCTTGCCATCAACTCGGATCTGTGCTGCAGCAGCCAGGACCTGGAGTTCACCCTGCGGTGCCTGGTGCCCGACTTCCTGCCGCCCATCGAGGCCACCGACTTCGGCGAGCGCCTGGGGCGGCAGCGCGTCTGTTTGGAGCGCGTCACCTGCTCGGACCTGGGCATCAGCGGCACGGTGCGCGTGAGCAACGTGGCCTTCGAGAAGCAGGTGGCGGTGCGCTACACCTTCTCGGACTGGCGGAGCGCGCATGAGGCGGTGGCCCGGTGGCGCGGGCCCGCGGGCTCCGAGGGCACGGAGGACGTCTTCGCCTTCGGCTTCCCGGTGCCGCCCTTCCTGCTGGCGCTGGGCTCGCGCGTGCACTTCGCGCTGCGCTACCGAGTGGCGGGCGCCGAGTACTGGGACAACAACCATGGCCGAGACTACAGCCTCACGTGCCGCAACCACGCGCTGCACATGCCTCGCGGGGAGTGCGAAGAGAGCTGGATCCACTTCATCTGAAGGCGGCCGCAGTGGTCCCCTAGCTGGGCTCTCCGGTCCCTGCGGTTACTGTTTCGCACACCCCACCCCAGCCTGAGTCTTCGGACTTCACTTCCCGCTTCAAGCCCCTGGGCGGTGACCCTTCCCATTCTCTACTCGAAATGTCTGTGTCACCGGCTCTACAAAGTAGCCTCAGGTGGCCGGGAGGCCAAGTTGTATCATGCGCTGGGGGAGGGTGCGGGGTGGGTGGATGCACAGCCGCGTCCGCCCCTCTGGAGAGGGCCCAGGCAGGCTGGGTTGGTTGGTTCGTTGGTGGGTTGGTTGGTTGGTTGGTTGGTTGATTTTTTGGAAAGGCCTGCATCCTCCTACTAGGAAAGCCTGTGGCTTTTGCATGTGTCCTGATTGGGTCTCTGTAAACGTAGCTGTTATTTATCATCGTGATGTTGGAACATTTTACCCTTATTGGATGCCTTCTCAGGAACATTCTGGATTTAACAAGCTAAAAAATAAGTCCTGTGTGTTTTGTGCCCATTGTAAACAGAATGTACGGTGTGACTCCCATCATGGTCCTTTAAGGCATTTCTGCCCTGGGACAAGGAAAACCTGAGACTAGGTTTGCTTGCCAATGTCTGTAGACTTCTAACAGTGGGAAACTATTAATAGGCAAGAAATTTATGCCTCATCAGTCATCACACAGCCATTCCTGGGAGTTCAGGCTGCCCTGGTTAGGCCGTGTGTCTTCTACATCAACAGCCAAGGAAGGGGGAAAAGCCTGACTCTGAAAACTAGCAAAAAAGTCCCTTCTCTTGCAGTCTCTCCTCTCACTTCCTGTGTTCCCCTTCTTGTCTTTGATAATTATGGATCTGCATGTTATCAGGCCATTCTGTTTAGGTTTGAGACTACCTAAACATTTTAAGAAATTCTGCCTTAAGTTATTTCCATTTTCAGGCAACTCTCTAGAAAAATTTCAGGCAACAGTGCCCTTTACAGTATCTTTTTGATGACTAAGGTGACTCTTTTTATGTCTGCTTAAGTGTCAGAAAATTCCAGCGGCCATCCTTCAGAAGTCAGGTTATCAAGTGGAACTGGCAGGGGTTTTCATCAATAGCTGGAGCCCTGGAGGAAAAATCACCAATACTTACACTTTTTAATCATTTTAAATGGTATTTATATATTCCCAGTTTTATCAGCTACCTGCGAACTTTATTCTTTGTGCCTTCAGACAGAGTTTCTAACATTGTCTGGACTCCCCCCCTCCCCCCCAGTTTTAAAAATGTTAAATGCTTTTCCTTTTTGTTGTTTGTTTTTTATCTCCAACCAAGAAGTCAAGGCCTTTGTCTCCTGCTGAATGCCAGGATGACTTAAAACTCCCAGCAAGGCACTGATGATTTCTTTTGGTGCTGAGTGGTGGTCTCTCTAAAAGCAGGTGCTAACACTGAGGTGTGAAAACCCAACCATGATGAACAAGGCCTCCAACTTGTGAAGTTTGGTTCTGATGCAGTTGAAGCCAGTGTCATTAATTTGTGATAGCTGTCACCAGTGAATTAACTCTAAATTTTTGAATACTTATTGACATTTGTCAAATCACTATGTAAAAGATGTGTTTTGCCTTTTAACCAGTTTATTTTTATAATTGCAACTTCTGTGTTTCTAAAAGTCCAAGAAGAGGGATCGCTTTCTTTGGTACCTTTTGATAATTACACTGAATTTTGATTTAAAGTGTTGTAATTCAATTGAACAACCTTTGGCTGTTAACACTGTGCACTACATTGACATGCAAGAGAGACAAAAGCCTGGTTCCATTTCCTGCTGTTTAATAAACAGTCCAATTAGGTCAGCAAGCCTGTGAGAGCCGTGGTTGTTGTGTCCGTGGTCCCAGCCCAGAGCGCACGACAGTTGTCCAGAGCATTCAGGTATAAGAGCGAGAGCCGACAAATGTATTGTTGTATAAAGGCATGTAAAGAATCTTATCCATGTGAAAGTCACTTGTCAAAAAGGTTCTGGTCATGGAATATACCGTAAATGTTTTATCTTCGATATTAAGAGAACCTCAACGTGCCTTTAAAAAAATCAACATTTGAAAATTTAAAAACTTAAATATACCTGCCTAGTTGATAAAGAAGTTGATAAAGTTCAGCTTAAGGAGAATTTTCAGATCCTAAAATAGTTATATTGCTTAGATGTTAATATTTTGCAGTGGATTGTGCAATTGTGGGGTTGTCTCCCCAAACATATTTTAAGGTCATTTAAGATGATTTCGCTCAAGCCTAAATATTAAAGTATGTGCATAAATTGTTATCTGAGGTGTGTTTTTCTTGTGGTCTAATTATAGAAACAAGACTCTGGAAACTTCTTGTTTAAATCATTTCATACATAAGTCTTATTCTTCCTAAAACACTATCAAATTTAGTGCCTTGCCAAAAAAAAAAAAGGGAAATTGTAGGATTGCACCTCAGCTTCAGCAGCACAGTCGTGTATGTCCTTGAGAAACTGAAATGCAATCTTTTAGGCCAGAACAGTGTTAACCTCTGATGAAAGCTCTAAGGGAGTGTAGGGTATGGGATAGTGATTCTTTCAATGCTTACTGAATCCTGTGTGTGGAGTAATGAGTGTGTATCTGCCTCCCCCTGATTATGTCCCTTACCCAGAACAAAGCCTTGCACTTACCGGAAGGAAACTAACACTTATTGTGCACTCATTCTTATTGGCTTGCCCCCAGTGATAGGTACTGCAAGCAGTTGATTTCATTGAACTCTGAAAATTACCTGGCAGATAATATCCCTGCTTTCTTAGCTGACGAGAATGAAGCTCAGAGAGGTTTAAGTAATTCCTCTAAAGACCCACAGCCGGTAAGCAGCGCAGTCAAGCTTTCAAACCTGGACCAAAGTCCACCTGCTCTGCCCTGTGACAGGATGTGCTTGTTAAATTTAATGGGAAATCCAATAATGATTGATTGATAAGGTTTTCTATCTGACACCATACTCTAAAACCCTGTTTAAGAACAATTCAAATAAGAGGATCTGTTTTTATCTTCCATGTGGTAGTTTACTAAACAATCCCCATGCTTTCCAGATCCGTGACTCAACGAAAAGCATTCTTATCATTTTTCTTCTCTACTAAAAAGTGGCAAGATGAGACATCAGTACTTTAAATTCTGAAGTGCTTCTCTGCTGTATCCGTTTCTGAATTGCTCCCTATTTTACGCAAGCATCCACTGATCTTATCATTTAAACTGATAATTTAAGTGGAAATGCTCTAAAAAGCCTCGGATAAAGTGTTGATGTTTGTGCTCAGTACCACACCTACATGGCCTCAGCCTAACGTCCCCAGGAGTCTGACGTTAGGCTAATGAGGGCAACAGACCCCCGCGCCACCTGCTTCTAGGGATCGGGGTGGGGGCGTGGCGTCGGGGGCGTGGCTCCAGGTGGGCGCGGCCGGTGCCGCAGGCGGCCGTCCCAGTAAGTCGGGCAGCAGTGAGCGGGGCGCGGGGCTCAGGGGGGTCCGCCTGGCCTCACTAGGCCATCCTCGGTGGCCGCAGCGTGGGCTCCCTCGGGGGGAGTCGGGCCCTCACACCCTCGCAGGTTCGCCAGGTGTCCCCAGGTCCCCGCGACCCCGTCCAGCCGTCGCCATCCAGGCTGTTTGTGGGCAGCCCAGAGGTCTCCCCGGGGCCCGCCCGCGCCCTCCTGCCCTACTGGCCGGCGTCCTGCAGAGAGGCAAGTGGGGCGCCCGGGCGCGTCCGCACCGCGGGAGGGCGGTGCGGGGCCAGGCAGGGACGCCGGCGCCTCCTCTGGGGCGGGGGCCGGGGCAGGGGTCGCGGCCGCAGCGCGGCAGGCCACCCACCCGGCCCGGCCCCGAGCCGCGCCCACCGCGGCGCCCCTGGCTTCGGCCTCTGGCGACCCCTGCGTCGCCGGCGGGCACGGGGGCGGAGCCTGGGCTGCGGGCGGCGCTGATTGGACGCGAGTCCGAACGCACGCGGCGCTGATTGGGCGGGCGCTTCCCGCCCACCGTCGGCCGCCTGAAGAGCCGCGGCGGTCGCGGAGACCAGAGTCGCGACTCGAGGCGGCGGCCGTGGCGGCGGCTCCCGGGCCCGGACGGGGAGGCTTCCTCCAGCCGCAGGTAGAGCCGGGCGCCGGGCCGGGCCTCCCTGACAGCGGGGCTGCGTGGAGGGGGGCCGTGACGCCGGGCCGGTCTCCAGCAGCGGCGGGTGGGCGAGCGGGCGGACGGCCGGCCTCCCGACGGTTGAGGCGGAGCCGTTGTGGAAACGGCTGGGGCGGCGCGGCGCGGCGCGGCGGCGGGACTGAGGGGACGACTCCGGCCGGGTGGGCAGGGCGGGCCTCGCAGCGGTCGCGGGGCAGGCAGGGGCCGGGGACGCGGCTGGGGCGGGCGGCGGGCTGTGGGCAGCGTGGTTGGGACGCGGCCGCGCGGCCGCCCCGCCCCCGCCGCCCGCGGTTGGCTGGGGCGGCGGGCGGGGCGGGGCTTGCGGCGCGTGCCCCTGCGGCGGCCGCGGGGTCTGCGCTCGCTGAGCGCGGAGCCGGCCCGGCCTCCCGCACCGCAGCCTTCGTTCCCGAGCGCCGCCGCGCGGGGCCCCTGATAAAAGGGATGCGTGTGCCGGGCTCCGCGGCGAGGCCATCACCGCGGGTCCTTTCTAGTGAGGAGGGAGGCCGGTGTTTCTCCCTGGTCCTCGTCCCGGGTCCGGGTTAGCCTCCTGTCGGCGTTTGTAGACCTGAGCGGTCGTGCGGTGCTGGAGCGCGGACCTTGTACTGATCGATCCCCTGGGCTTTGGGGGGAGAGTGTGCGCCTCCTACTTGTCAGGTTGTCGGTCGTTGTCAGAGCTCTAATCCTTGTATTTGCCTGCATATATACGCATTCATACCCTCACAGTGGATATAATTTAATTGTATTCAGAATATACTCATCTGAGTGTATTTTCATCAAAAGCATGAAAGAGTGTAGAAAAGATTTTAGCCCAGGGTTCAAAGCCCGCTTAGCCCGCAGCACAACCCCACAGGCCTCTTGCTAAGTCTGAATCTGCGCCGCGATTCTGAGGTCCTCTCCTGTCCCTCGTTCTGTTGCGTCGCGCTTCTTCAGGATGCTTTAGCCTGTTCACGCTTGGTGTGGATGAGTGTATGGCTTTTGTTTCCTTCTAGGGTTACCCTTAACCTCTCGGCTGGAAATGTTTGACCTGCCCAGTGAAGGGTGCTAAGTTTTTGGCTCTGTCGAAGCTAGTATGTAGTCAGCCTTGGGAGGGAGGGGGGACTCCCTGAATGGTTTATTTTCCTTACTTTCAAGTCTGCCTGTGTAGATACTAACCAGTTTTCCTTTTCCTTGGCCCACTTTTTGCAGGAAGGTAGTCTGGGAACTAAACCCTTCTCGTTAGCATTTTCGTGTCTCTTGGCCGTAAGTAATTCCGTGCTGTGTTTCATGTCTTCGTGAATTACCTGTTAAATTCAAATTCATATTGTTTGAGTTGTGAAGACAGAAAAGTGTAATGAAGTGGGCCTGCCTGTCCCCGCAGTTGCTGGCCCTAGGAAAAGAGTACACATTGATGTCCCTAAAATATATTTTAAGTATTTACATTTTTAATCAAGTTTTCAAATTGTGAGATAAAATGTTCTAGTCTTTTACAAACACACCTTCATTACAACAAAGTAGACCAATATGTGTAAAGCTATTTTCATGACTGAATGCTGGAAAAATATCAAAGATAACTGAATTCACTTATTACGGATATTTGATGATTGGTGAATTTTGAATAATAAAATATTTACCTATAAAATCAGAAATTAGTATATAGTCCATAATTTTATTTTCAATTTAGATAAATTAACAAATATGTTACAATCAAGACTTACTTTTGTGTTCTATAGACAGTATGATTTAAGCATTAAAACAATATGTAATTGTATTCAAAATACACTGATTTGAGTACATTTTCATCAAAAACATGAAATAATATAACAAATTTTTTTTTTTTTTTTAGGGGTGCTTGGGTGGCTCAGTTAAGTGTCCTTGATCTCAGCTCCGCTCTTAATCTCAGGGTCATGAGTTCAAGCCCTGAATTGGACTCCACAATGGATGTGGAGCCTACTTTAAAAGAAATTTTTTTCCTTTAAAATGTTTTGAAATATTAAAATCTCTTAAGATTAAGATAAAATATGAATTATTAATGAACATTTATCTTAAATAAAATTATTTAATACTGAAGCTATTTTAATAATTAAACTTATTAAATGCTTTTATAAACATACTTAGCCACCATCCTAATGTTTACTTGTCCTCTGCCATTGTAGAATCCATATTGTGTCCATGCAGTTTATGTCTAGATTTACATGTGTACAAATTAATAGTATGAATGGCTTAGAACTACAAAATGTTCCTCAGCCACCATGTGCAACTGTTGCAAATACTGTGTACTAAGTTGCTAGTACTTCCAGAGCCACAGGTTGGAATGCAAAGAAAAGCAGGAAAATGGACATTTGGCACGATTAGGAAGCAGTTGTTCATTATGCAAGAAGCAACTGTATTTTTGCTCTGCTAGAGGAAGGATTTGGCAGTGAATTAATGTATTTTCTCATACCTGACTACTTAGGTTTCTCAAATTCTACCTCCATTCTAAAGCATAGAGAAGAATGTCAGTATTGGCACAACCTACAACCTTCTCAGCATTGTTTTGGCCTCCTCTTCCCCTTAAACTTTTTCTTTAAAAGATTTATTTAGGGATGGGATGCCTAGGTGGCTCAGTCGGTTCAGCAACTGCTTTTGGCTCAGGTCACGATCCCAGGGTCCTGGAATCGAGTGCCGCATTGGGTTCCTTGCTTGGCAGGGAGCCTGCTTCTCCCTCTGCCTACTGCTCCCCCTGCTTGTGCCCTCTCACTCTCTCTGGCAAATTAATAAATAAAATCTATTTTAAAAATTTAAAAAAATAAGATATATTAAAAAATAGATTAAAATAATAAAATTTAATAAATTAAATAAAAATTTAATAAATTAAATAAAAATAAATATTTATTTATTCCAGAGAGAGAATGAGCTCTGGGGGGGCGGGCAGCACGGGCAGAGGGAGAGAATCTCCAGCCCAACTCCCTGCTGAGCATGGAGAGCCCTAAGAGGGGCTCAGTAGCACGACCCATGCGATCATGACCTGAGCTGAAACCAAGAGCCAGATGCCCACCTGACTGAGCCACCCAGGCACCCCAACTTTTTTTTAATAGAAGTTTTCTAACATATACAAAATAAACAGAATAGTGTAATTAACTGAAGTCCCCTTCTTTCAAAGGCATAGTCAAGGAAAATGTTTCTCTGGGGCCTGAAGGTTTGAGTTACAAGAATGAACGTATGTGTTCATGTTTAAAGGACTTGCTGGGCCAGTTGTGGATTCTGAGTGAATAAAGATTCCTGTGTGCTCCTTAATAAAATTGTGTGTGTGTGTGTGTGTGTGTGTGTGTGTGTAGGAGAGAGACAGTGATGTACAAAAATTACTATTTTTATGCTTTGTGCTTTCCATGTCTTAAATCCTTCTGTATTGCAAAGTCATAGATATCCTCCTGTATTCCCTTCTAGTAATTTTTAAACATTTACTTATTACATTGGGTAAATAATGAATCTATAGTTTATTTTTGTGAATGTGGGATATAGAGGTATAATTTTTTTTCATATGGTGAGTCAATTTTCCTAATACCATTTATCAACTAGTTTACCTTTTTCCCTCTGATTTATAAAGTCTTACATATACATGAACTTACAATATATGTTTGGGTGTGCATTTGGACTCTTCTGTTTTATTGATCCACTTACTTCCTATTCTTAACACTTTGTTTTTTTTAGTAATTGTGACTTTGTAAAATGTCTTAATATCAAATAGGATGATTATTCCCCTTTTTACTTTATTTTTAAAAATTTTAGGGTGCCTGGGTGGCTCAGTTGGTTAAGCGACTGCCTTCGGCTCAGGTCATGATCCTGGGGTCCCGGGATCGAGTCCCGCATCGGGCTCCCTGCTCTGCGGGGAGCCTGCTTCTCCCTCTCCCACTCCCCCTGCTTGTGTTCCCTCTCTCGCTGTGTCTCTCTCTGTCAAATAAATAAATAAAATCTTTAAAAAAAAAAAGTTTTTATATCTCTGCTCATGAGGGGTATTTGGTCTGTAGTTTTATTTTAATGTTTTGGTTTTTTTGTTTTTTTTTTTTAAGATTTTATTTATTTATTTGAGACAGAGAGAATGAGAGGGAGGAGGGTCAGAGGGAGAAGCAGACTCCCCGCCGAGCAGGGAGTCCGATGCGGGACTCGATCCAGGGACTCCAGGATCATGACCTGAGCTAAAGGCAGTCGCTTAACCAACTGAGCCACCCAGGCGCCCCATTGTGGTTGCTTTTCTGTTCAGAGAGTTGTTGCTATTCCTTTCTTCGATCTCCTGTTGAGTTCGTAGGTGTTCAGACTGGTTTGATCCCTATCCAGCGGAATTCCTGAGAGGAGATGAAATCCAGGTCTCCTACTCCTCCGCCATCTTGCTCTGCCCCCTTCAGGTATTTTTTCTATTTCTCCTTTGATTTGTTGGTTGTTCAGGAGCATGTTGTTTTATCTTCACATAATTGTAGAATTTTTGGTTTTCTTCTTGTAATTGATTTTTAGTTTCATATCCTTGTGGTCAGAAAAGATGCTTGATATGTTTTCAATTTTTTAAATTTATTAAGACTTGTTTTGTGGCTAACATATGATTTATGTTGGAGAATTTTCCATGTGTGCTTGAGAAGAATGTGTTTCCTGCTGCTGTTGGATGGAATGTTCTGTAGATGTCTGTCAGGTACATCTGGTCTAACACGTAGGGTAAGTCCAATCTTAAGGCACTTTAAAAAAGATACTGTTCTAAGTCTTCTGCTTTCATAGTTTTTGTTGATCAGGTATCAGTCTTATTGATGCTACTTAAAAGTAATCTTTTTTTACTCTCTGGCAGCTTTTAATGTTTTTGTCTTTCCTCAGTAGTTTCTGTGGTGCACCTGAGTATAGTTTTCTTTTTCTTTCTCTATCTGGGGTTCATGGGACTTTTTGAATCTATAGTTTGATATCTTTTATTGGTTTTGGGAAATTTTTTGTCATCATTTCTTAGGAATTACTTCTGTCTCATTCACTATCTCCAAGGTTTCAGTGCCAGATACATAGGGCTTCATAACATCCTCTGTGTTGTTCTATCTTCTAGTCTCCCTCCTCATATTTTTGTGTATCTTTGTTTCTTTCTGGATTTTTTTTCTGATATAGCTTCTATTTCTATAATTTTCATCTATATGTCTTTCCATTTTATTCTTAATTATTTTGTTATTGACTATTTTTGTTTCTAGAACTACATGATTCTTTTTCAAATTTTCTGTGGCCTTCCTTACTCCCCACCCTAGTTTCTGGTTTTCTGCCAAAGTTCTCAGTCTTTTTGAATAATCTTTAGGTACACAATATTTATAGTTACTTTAAAGTATTTGTTTAATAACTTTACCATCTGGAGGTCCTATGACCCTGTTACTTTGGGCTACCTCTGCTGGTCCTCATGTTTTCATAGATTCATCCAAGTCTATGGATTGCACTTTAAGTATTGCTTTGGTTACATCTTACAGGGTTTTGTATGTATACATATTCACTTAAATATTTAGTCTTTTCCAACTTTTTATATCCTGCAAAGGAACATATTTTAGTTTCCAAGTAAAGGGAAAGTTTGAAGCTAACTTTGTAGCTGATTTCTAAATTTATAGTGAGAACAGGGTATCTATTATGTTATTCTTTTGAATGCTTTTGTTTGTTTTTGCTTTTGTGAGTTAAGATTTTCTCTTTTATTATTGAGAAATAACCTCACAGTGTTTGTAAATTTGTCTTCTTTGGTATTCTGTGGACTCTTTAAATGTGTGGATGTCTGTTTTTATTTTGGGAAAGTTCTTGGATGTTATTCAACTCTTGCTACCCCACTATTTTTTTTTTTTATAATTTTTGGAATTCTTATTGGGTAGATATTGGAATGTCTGCATCTCTCTTTCATGTCTCAACTTTTACTTGTATACATTTTATCATTTCATTCCTTTGTGGTATTCTTTATCATATCACCCAAGGAATAGTTCCTCCTGCAGACAGCTCCCCCCTTGAGCTTCAGGCTTATGACAATGGTGCCAGTAGTGGATGCTTAAGGTTCTAGCCTACATTGTTTCTCAGTAATCAACCGTTTGGTTGTTGACCTCCAGTACTTCCTTCTTACCTCTGTATTTGAGATAATACTTTTCATATCCTTCCCCCCCATTTTCTATCTATGAAGCAAGTCTGTGTATGTTAAAATCTTGTAACAGTGTGTGATACGACATTCTCAAACAGAACCAGTCTAAATTTCTATTTTCTGTGATGGCCTGGGGAGAATTAAGGAAAGAGTGAAGCCAAGTAGAAAATAGGCAAACCCCTTCTTTGGAATTTGGGAAGCAAAGAGTGGGTCCCTGAGTTTCCAATATTTTCTGGGTCAGAGCTTTCTGAGTCAGGCAAAATGACAGAATGACTACCAGCTATTTAGAGATCTTGGAATCATTGTTGGTATACTGGAATTCCCAGCTAGCCATGGACCTAGGATTGCCCCTTTAGTATATAGGCCAGAGCAGACAAGCACAACCATATGGGGCATAATCACAGCTAGGCCCTGAATAGGTTTGGATGGAGCAGTTGGATTTCCCAGCTACTTAACTGTGGAGGCTGGCTTTGGTCATTTTCATCCCGTCACAATAACCCAACCTACATTTTACCAATCCCATGTTTTGGATCCCACTTACCTGTATTTTGGCAAGAATTTATTGTACTTTTAAAAAGGCATGTAAGCATAAATTACAGATAAAGCTTGTTTTGTCAAATAGCAATCTACAGTCCTATGCAACTCACTACTCTTCCTCCCCAGTGAGCTGACAAACTCTCCCAACAGAGTCTCCCTCTGCCTCTCTCCACCCCCCGACCTCAACATAAATACACACACACACACACACACACACACACACACGCACAAGCACGCACAAATATGTATATACTTATTCTTAAAGATATAATCATAAATAAGCCAGTGTTTCTTTTTTTTTTCACATAAATGCCATTACACAGTATGTATCATTTGGCAACATGTTTCTAATTTAACTTAAAATGGACTGCAAATATCTAAAATTCTGGTTCATCTGTTATGTTTACAAAATTGATTATCATATACCACATTTTATTCATTCTTCACCTTCCCTCCTATTCCTAACTCCTATCTGGGTACTTTTGAATTTTTGCCACTCAAAACAGTGCTGCAAAAACATCTTTAGACTTGGCTCCTTATGCACATGGAGCAAATGTTTCTCTGGGGATTGATTTTTCCCCCCCTAGAGTTAATTTGAAAATACAAGAGATTTTTTTTTACTCATGCCTTTTGTCTACCTGAAATGTATGCCCTCATTGGCACTTAAATTTCTCCATTAGCACATCTGCAATAAAGTAGGCTGTGACTAACACCACTTGTTCTCATGAGTATGTAGTCCTGTATTCATCTTGGGTTAATTATCTCTCTGTTGATTTCCTGGTGTTTCTATTATGAAGCTTTTCATAGTACAGATTATTTTTAAATTGTTCCAGTTATAATATCTAGAAAAGATGCTCTTTCTTTTCCTTTATAGAGCTAATTGCCAAATCACATTTGAAAATGTTAGATGCTTTTGTCAAGATGGTAGGTGATGTTGGGGCGCCTGGATGGCTCGGTCGGTTAAGTGTTTGCCTTTGGCTCAGGGCCTGATTTCAGGGTCTTGGGATCAAGCCCCACATTGGGCTCCCTGCTCAGTGGGGAGTCTGCTTGTCCCTCTCCCTCTGCCTCTCCTCCTGCTTTTTCTCTCTCATATAAATAAATAAAATCTTAAAAAAAGAAACATGGTAGGTGGTGCTAAAGTGTAACCCTGTTGATTCCTGTTTCCACTCCTCTTAAAGGGTCAGTGTGCTTAGGTTTTCTTTTCCTCTTTTCATTGCATATTTGTCTATTCTCATATAACCTAGTCTTTGGCAATACACTTGCATATTCTCTCCTTCTTAAATATTATGTTACTAGACTGAATTTCATTTACACGTTAATTCAAGATTATTTTTCTTCTTGTTCCCAAAGTTGGAACAAGTATAGCAGAAATCCCTAATGAGAGAGGTCCAGGTTTGTATTTTTTCACTAACTAGTTCTGTGACCTTTGGCAAGACTTGCAACATTTATTTAAGTAATCTATAAAAAGAGAAGGCTTGAATAAATGATCTTCAGGCTTTCCTCCAGAAACTTCCTTGACCAGGTTCATATGTGTAATTTCATAAACAGTGAGGAACTTGAAATTATTTTTTGCCTTTGGTATAAGCACCAATGCTTATTTATGCATATTAAGATTTTGAACAATAAACATACAGAATAGATTGTAAGATACTGAAAGCATATGTTTTGTTTTACAGGTGTTTGTTTTGTCTTGCTGTTTTAAAATTAAATCAAAATGCCCATAAGACCAGATCTCCAGGTATGTAGTCCTAGACCAAAAGGAAGGAAGTATTTTAATTCCTAAAATCACTTTTGTTTGTTTATAGGTGTTAAGTGCTGTATTTTTAGGAAAAATGAAGCTTACTTGTTTTTATGAAATGGTCAGGAGTGGAATAATTTAAAATGTTACTCTTTCATTTTTTCAGTAGGTTTCTTTTCAAAATCTGTTATTTATGAAGTATGAAAGATGCTGATTATTTACATATGCCTTTTACATTGAAAAGAATTATGCAGTCATTCATGTATAATTTATGCCTGGATATTTTTATGTCAGGGCATTTTGGTAAGAAGTTTTAATATATCTATTTAACATGTATGCAATTTACCACCAAATCTGGTGATCAGATTATAGTATAAAAATTCCTTATTAGTGATGTTATACTTTAGTAGTAAGGATGGTGGATTTTGTAAAGGTTATAAATGTATAATGTAAATTATATATGTAAATCTTAAATTATATTGATATAGTTTCCAATCAGTGCTTTTGTCTGTATGTATTTTTTTAAAAACTATTTAAACCTCATTAAGAAATTGATATTCAGATGCGTTAGTGTTTTATCCATGGTGTTAAGTATTAGTTACTATTAAGTTTATTTCTTTCATTAATAGATTTCTTTTTTGAACTCGACATAATGATAACTTTATAATAAAGGATATGAAGTGGAAAATTAGTAGAATGTATATATATATTTTTAATGCAGAATCTTGCTATTATGAAAGAAGCTTGATCTCTCTCTTTCTCCAATTTAATAGTGAACAGGTTTTTTTTTTTTTTTAAATAAGTGAATTGATATAAGCTCTTTTGAGAATTTTCATGTGACAATTCTTGAATTACTGGATTGCATACGGTGACTAATTTTGGTTTTGATTCAATCTCTGTGCCATTACTGTATTTCTGTAGCAGTTGGAAAAATGCATTGATGATGCTTTAAGGAAAAATGATTTCAAGCCTTTGAAAACACTTTTACAAATTGATATTTGTGAAGATGTGAAGATTAAATGCAGCAAGCAGTTTTTCCACAAGTTGGATGACCTTGTATGCAGGGTAAATACTCCTTTTTGTTGAATGATTGTTAAAATTATCGGATAGCACTCTTTTTAGGAAGAAGTACTCCTTTGGAAGAAATGAATAAAAGGCTTTGGCAAACTTGCTTATAATTATATGAATAAGTGCTAATTTTTAAAAAAATCTGAGGAGTCCCAAATAACATATTAGATTACTGTTTTCTAAATACAATATACAAAAAGCTATGTTTACATAGCATTACCATTACTAAGTGTTGCCTAAACTGAGGAAAAATAGTTTACCTGTTTGAAGTTTGAAAAACTTTTTAAAAAACCTATCAGCGTATTTATGTTATGGGGATAGTGCTTGGTGCTTTCAAAAATAAAACAAAAATTATCCAAAATCCTGGACTCGATTTATTATATGTAGGGTATTTTTATGCAGGAGAAAAAGTGATTATTGACCATCTCCCCCAGTATCTGAGACTTGTTATGAATCTAAAAGATTGAGTAATCTTTTATTAAAATGAGTAAACATTTATTTCCATTAGTTAAATGTATAGAGCTGTTTAGAATGGAAGGTAACTGATTCATTGTACCATCATCTAAAGTTTCTTGAATTTACACAAATCTGCATTTTTGTACTGGGTTTGTCATTCACGGGCTGGTGGCTTTAGGCCTTGTTTCTCTAAAGCGCACTTCCGTACTTTGCAATATGGAGATGGTGGTAGGAGCTAACTTTCAGGATTTGTGAGGATTACAAATCTCCTAGCACAGTGCCAGTTCGACGCTATTTTGTATTTACAGATGTTTAAATGTATACTTTTTGTTTTAGGAGCTTAATAAAAAGGATATCCAAGCAGTTTCAACCATTTTGGTTTCTTTTGGAAGATGTAGCAAAAATATCACTATATTGGGGCAAGCTGGACTTATAAATATGATAAAACAAGGACTGGTCCAAAAGATAAGTACAGAATATGTAATATTTATGTGAGGGGAAATAGTATTCAAGGTGTGTTTTCTAATAAAATGTTCAAACAGTTGAAATATGAATTTGGGGACTTTACATAAAGGTTTAGGTAAAACAAATAGGTTTGTAACCTGAGCTCTATGTTACAAAGATAAAGATCAAAAGGACACCGTAGGCACCAGGCTCCTTGATGATCATGTGAATTTAAGGTCACAAGACTCCCTGAGGCCTTTACTTTATTTTCTCATCTATTTACTGTAACTTTGTTTTGCTTTTTATATTGTTTATTATCTAATTCCCATGCTAGAATGTGGGATATTGATTTTTATTTTGTTTTATTCATTTCTGTATACCTAGCGGTAAGAACAGTACCTAGGATGTAGTATATTCTCAACTATAAGAATTAATAAAAGTAAAATAACACCAAAACTTTTCAAATAGTAATAATGCCAAGAGTCTAATTTATGATGATAATTTATTTTCATCTATTAATGAATCTACCTGAACTAGGAATTTGAAAGGGGAAATCAAGGTCTTCTGCCTAGAATTAGGATTAGTTCATCCATTCCCATCTAAAGAATGTTAAAATATAGTGAGTTACCAAAAAATGAAAACAACAAAGATGTTTAAAAACATAAAACTTTTCATATAATACTGGAATTTTTATTTTTAATGTTTCTTTATTCCTAGGTTTACTGTTTATGCAAGATAAGTACATTCTTAAAATTATTAAAATTGAATTCAAAGTAACTAATACATACATTTCTTTTTTTTACATGGTTGCCTGGTTTGAAAAATCAAAGAAGATTATTCTCAGTCGAGGAAACTCAAAAGATGAGGCAGTTATAAATATGATAGAAGACTTATTTGATCTTCTGATGGTAAAAATCACATTGGTTAACCAATCTTACAAGCATGTGTTTATTTAAAATACAATTTGTGTTCTATATGTCCAGGGCCTAAAAGTCACTAACAGATTGGTTAGTGGCTTGATTGGATTAGTCTGTTCAGATTGTATAAAGCACTTATCCTGATTAATACAATTGAATAGTTAATAAATAAAAGTTAATTATATGGTGAATTCAAATGTGATCTGTTACTTTAATACTATTTTAATATTTACTACTGTATCAATACAACATAATGGTCTATAATACAAAATAATAAATTACAAATTAAATATTCACTTTTTTTCAGGTCATATATGACATCAGTGATGAAGGTATAATAAATATTTTATTTCTTTTAAAACGATAATTTGCTATTAGGGTTTTAGTATGACTTTGCAATCCTCAGAGTATTGTCCTAATATTAGGAATCTAACTATTTAATTTAGGGATCAACAACCTTTTTCTGTAAAGGACCAAATAGTAAACATTTTAAGCTTTATATTAGGGCCAAGCAAAAGAAATCAAGAATTATTATATAGGTACTTATATAACAAGAAAGAAAACAGATTTCCACAGATATTGATACAATTCAAGATACTACAATAATTGAATACAGTGTTTTTGTAATATAGGTCAACTAATGAGAAAGCACTCTTTTGAGGGGAAGACATTTCATTTAATTAAGGCTCAGAGTTAGTTTGCTCTTATCAGAATTGATTGCAAATGTTCATTTTTTATGCTTATCTGTAATGAGATTTTATGTAAATTGCATTAGAAAATGTCTTTTCATGCAGATAATGCCAAATACTGATATCAATTCATGAGCATGATTTTTAATTGAGCATGTTCATCACTTGGAAAGCATTTATGGAATTATATTAGCTTCTTAATATTGCCTTTTAGAATGTCATTGCATTGCAGATGAATCACTTTCAACTGAAGGCTAGGTGGAAGCCCTCAGCTGAACATTTAAATGGATTTTGAAATACGGAAATTTCCTTTGTACTTCATCAGTGTCCAGAAATGCTGCTGGACCTGTAATCGGAGCTTAGAAAAACGTACTCCTATAAATGTGGGTGGGAATGGAGATGTCACTCCTTGTTTTAATTTTTGACAGCTTGGGAAATGTATAAAACAGTTTGGCATTACTTGTGATTCAGATAACCTTACTTTCATTGAAATGACTTCAGTGAAGTTTCTCATATAAGAATGATTTTTGCCTTGTAATTTTGGGTTGAATTCATTAAGAAACATCAACTCTGTAGCCCATGCTAATTACTGAAGCCATTCAGTGGTATCTGATATTGGTTAAGTTCATGAGAGTAGAATGAAATTCACTTTGATACTGCTGGTTCAGTCATTCAGATATTTCCGTAGAGTACCTCCTGATGAATAATAGAGCCATACAGAATGGGCAATGGTGTGGATTTGGTTTGTGGGCCATAATTTGCCAACTCTTGATCTAATGAGACAGAATTTTCAATATATAGAACACATAACAACTCATCCTCACTTATGAATGGTCATTGTTTTGTGCCAAGCAAGTAGTCCAACAAATTATTTTATTTCTGTTGGTTGAAGAAGAATTACCTGGGATTGGTCACTGAGGCTGGTGAATTGTTTATAAATAAAGGAACAGTTTGCCTTCAAAGCCAAAAAGTTTTAAAAGCTCAATTGCTATTTACTTCAATAGTAGTTAATGCTACCTTTTCATTGATTGCTTTATAGATGACATATAATCTAGCTTAAATTCTTAAGTTTTTAGGGAAGAAAACAATCCTAAAGCACCAGTGAATATAAAGTAATCCAAGTGTTTTTTTTAAGTAAATAACTATATCTTTCTACCTAATTGAGTAATTTTATTCTTTTTTTTTTTTTTTACCTTCAGTGTAGTCACTTTGGAAAGTTGTATATTTTCTGTTGTAGTATTGCCATTATTTAAAATTATTTTTAAAATTTGCATTATGAAATAGCATGTGGCAAATTCCTCTAAATATATTTAGTATTGATAAAGCCTTGTCTTTTGAGAATAGGGTTAACTTTAGAAAAAAGCTCAAGATATTTAGATCTTTATATTGAGGAGTGTTTACGGCCGTTATGGAACTTTCGATATATGACTAAATTAATGAGGCCGGTTTTCATAAGAACTTAACGATAGAAATTTCCACTTTTGAACTATGTTTATTTCATCTGAAAAAGTCCTACCTTAGGACTTAAAGGAGAAGCTGAATCTGAAGTTATGCCTTTGCCAGAGTTAAGATGAGTCAAATCTGTTGAAAGGTATTTTTTCAAAGCCACATAGCTAGTTAGTGGGAGAACTAGGACTGGATTTCATGTTTCCTGCTGCCCAAGACCAGTCAGTGGGCCTTTTCTGAACTAGTACATTCTTTCATTAACTCATACAAGATTGCCATTTAAAAGAATTTAAAATACTCATTTATTAATGATTTAACACTTTCAGGTAAAAGGCAAGTAGTGGAAAGTTTCGTGCCTCGAATCTGTGTCCTGGTTATTGACGCAAGAGTGAATATTTGTATTCAGCAGGAGGTAAAGTCATTTGTTAAGATTTTCTTTTAAACCTAAAAATGAGAGAGTGAAGCAAATTTAGTAGCAATTCATCAAAATGAATAATTATATTTTCTTGGTACTAAATTAATTATGTAGTGTATTTCTGTTGTTTTAATTCATTGCCTGATGTGATAAATAAATATGTTACCCAAATATTTATTGAAAATTCATAGCTATTTGTGTTTATGTATGCATATAGTTCATATGAAAATAAATTATAGTATCCAGATATTAGGAGTTCTCAATATTTAAATGCTAAAAATAACTTGTATTAGTATATGTATGTGTGTACATATATATAACCATAAGAATATATATTAATCAGGTAATTTTGTTTTAGTTATTATAATAGAGTAATAATCATATGTTTTATTGCAAAGAGTATAACTGGAATCATGTTATATTTAATTTTTGATATCCTTTGTCTCATGTTTTTTGTATTCACTATATTATACTTTATATTCTTTCCTCCACCCTTTTCAATTCCCTGCATAAAATGCTGTGCTTAAGAAAAAAAAATAGGCTTCTAAGTTTGTATACCTAGAATAGTTCTCTAAATACTTAATGTTTCACTGAGTATATAAAGTTAATGGATTATCTTTTTTTCTTTTCTAGACTCTAAAAAAAATGAATGCTATGCTTGACAAAATGCCTCAAGAAGCCAGGAAAATACTCTCTAACCAAGAAATGTTAATTCTCATGTAATAATTTGTACTATATTGCTTTAATTAGTGGTCCTGGTCAAGAATTTAAAGGATATTTTATAAGGCTGTAAGACAACCATGAGTTGCATTAATAATTAAAACTGATAAACTGTTGTAGATTTCTAATATAATTTATGGCTATATTTTCTGCAAAAGTCTGTGATACTAGCCAATTGTAAATTTTAGTGAAGTTTTTTCCCCCCAAATATGTGGGTTTTTTATTTAATTGGTACTAGTTTGGTATGTAATCTATTATTTTGATTTACAGGAGTAGTATGGGAGAAAGGATTTTAGATGCTGGAGGTAAGTATGCTTTCTCAAAATGTTCATATATGAAATTATTCCAAATTTACTAATAGAAAATATTATCTCTTTAGTAAAAATAATATTAACATTGTAATGTAGTGAGATTATGTGAGGAAATTATAAATTATGTACAATCAAGCAATTTTTAATTACTAATAGGTGATTAAATGATCTGTATCTGTGAGACTAAAATAATAATTAAACATGCATTAGGAGTCTTCAAATATAAATTGTGCCTAATGGTAGATTTATGAATAATAACTTAATTTTCTAACATTTGAATTACTTTCCTTCCTCAAATGGTGTTTCATGAATTTGGAGGTTTAATATTTTGGGGACTTACAGATTTGTTTTTAAACAATGTGTTTATTAAAAGAACTCAATCTTTTCTAAGTTTCATATGAGAAAATTTTGATGTAGTGATTTACATCTAGAACAAACCACTGGTTAAAATACTTTGGAATAACTATAACCATCATATAAAAGTAAAAGTTTCTGTGGTTTATGGACTATCCTGTGAGTTATTTTGCAATTCACAACTCTAATAATGGAATGGCAGAGTCTTTGAATTATTTAGGAGTTTCTTTCAAATACCCTTTAAAAAAAAAAAAAGTTTTACTCCTTTCTTCTATTAGTAAATTTGTTATTTGGGCTGTATTCATTTCTGAGCTGATGAGATCTTTCTAATCCATATGAACAAAATGGCAAAAGATGAGTGAATGACACTAATATTTTCTTCTTTCTCTTGCTTGTTCTAATTCCTTATAAACAATGACTTTTATAAACTTATTTTTCATAATTTCCAATAATACATTAACAATTTTTTTTTTTAAGATTATGACTTACAAGTAGGTATCGTAGAAGCACTATGTAGAATGACTACAGAAAAACAAAGACAAGAACTGGCATGTCAGTGGTTTTCAATGGATTTTATTGCTAATGCATTTAAAGGAATTAAAGACTCTGAATTTGAAACAGTAAGTAGTATAAAAATAACAAAATGACAAGAGGTTTTTTTATTACTATGCTTTTTAAAAGTCTCTTTTTTTTTTTAAATTAGGATTGCAGAGTATTTCTCAACCTTGTAAATGGCATGCTTGGAGACAAGAGAAGGTAAACTTAATACAGTAGTCAACCATTTACTCATAAAGAACTAGCTCAACAGGGAGAACACAGTGTTGAATCGTTAAAATTTATTTTGTCTTTTGGGATGTAAAATGCACAGGGATATTTAAAACAATATCTTATTGTAACACCATGTAATAACTTACTACACTGGTAGACTGAAATAATTCCCACTTGTCTTATTTTACTTTGTACTTTTTAGCAGAATTTTGAGGAATAATAAAAATCTCGTATAAATATTATTTGAGCTACCTCCTTCATCCACATACTGGAATAAAAATATATAGCAAACTATCTTTTTTTTTATAACTAATGCACTGTAATGCTAACCTCTTTCTGAGGTTATTTAATCTCAGGAATGGGCATGAATGAAAGGTAATTATCACTTTTGATAGTAGCAGAGCAGTATTTGCAGTTCATTGCCTGGCACCATATTACAGATGCTCAGGACATCTTTATTGGATGAATGAGTTCACATTTACTTTACTTACTAAGGAAACAAAGACAGGGTGAGGGTTGAGTGCAGGGACTCATGTTATTTAGATTTGAATCATAGGTTCCCCTCTTGCTATTCTAATGTTGGGCAAATTATTAAACTTACTTGCTTCAGTTTCCTTAGCTGTAAAGTAAGAATATTAATAATATCTACCTCATATGTTTGTTGTAGAAATTAAATGAGATGATTATATATTAAGTGCTTATAATAAAAAATAGCTGACCAAGAAATCACTCGGCAAATTCAGTCATTTTTATTAGCTGTATTATTCATTACTACTCTTCTTTTCCCATGTAAATCCTATGGGAGCTTCCACTATCTTAATAGTATAAGCTAAAATTAGGAATTTCTACTCCTAGTCAATAGCATAAAAAGTAAATTGGTATAGTCACTGTAGTCAGAATGGGAGGTTGAGTAGTATCCTCAAAATAATATACATTTTCTATAGAAACAAATTTCCATGAAACTCTTATTTTAGTTTAGAAAGAGATATGACTTTATTTAAATCGTTAGGACCACAGCCTGATTTCCTTTTGATCCTAGACATGATTTCTATGGCTAGTCAAGATTACGGTGTGAAGGCTTATTAATATTTTTTAATGCAAACTACTTTTTATTTCAGGGTCTTTACATTTCCTTGTATATCAGCATTTCTTGATAAATATGAGGTAAGTTTTAACTATAACGTTTTAGTTATTGGATGAACTTTGATATATGGTCTAGTAAATTACAGGTTACAAGTTGACAGGAATGTTAAAAATAGTCATAACTTGATCACAAATATAGCTGGTCTAGTATTCTGTGAATAAGAGCCATTTTATGAAGTGACATTTTTGTAGCCAGGGGTAACTGAAATATAAAGCCTGCACTTCAGATTTTCTTTTTTTTTCCTTTAAGTGAAGCCCATTGATTTACCATTCATTAATATATTCAAACTAATATTTTCAACCTTTATTTGTACTTGGAATATTTGTGATTTCTTGGAGCTAGCTAATTTCTGTGTAAGGTATTAAAGCAGCATTTCTTTTGATTGTTTCTAAATTGGTTTAAATGCTCTACTTGTCCTCTTTTCTTTAAAAAAAAACAAAAATGGGTGCCTCTGTGGCTCAGTCATTAAGTGTCTGCCTTCGGCTCAGGTCATGATCCCAGAGTCCTGGGATCGAGCCCCGCGTCGGGCTCTCTGCTCAGCAGAAAGCCTGCTTCTCCCTCTCCCCCCGCTTGTGTTCCCTCTCTCGCTGTGTCTCTCTCTGTCAAATAAATAAAACCTTAAACCCAGAAATTCAACCATGAGTATAACATAGTCATGCTTTTCTATTGTCACTTTTAAAATCATAGTATATAAAAGTTTTTTATGTTTGTTTTATTAGTTGCAGATACCTTCAGATGAAAAACTTGAGGAATTTTGGATAGATTTTAATCTTGGGAGCCAGACTCTATCATTCTACATTGCTGGAGATAATGATGTAAGCTTTATTCTAGCTAACATTTTATGTTTGTATATGTGTTTATATAAAATGTTTTAATTTAAGAATGTGGATTTTTGTATGTTTGTTTTTCCAGCTCTTTTAATAGAATTCAATATTAACCCTATGGTTTTGATTAGCATGGTAACCCATTCAGTTAATTACAAATGAAGATTATTTCTGATGTTTTATTGCAACAGAAAAATTAATGCTAGATTTTAATAGTTTTTTTAACCTAAGATTTTTCAGAAATAAATTACATGTTAATGACATAACATTTAACATTCATATGAACATATGGACTGGAATCTAGAAAAGATACCAGTTATTCAAATGTGAAGGCACTCATTTAAAAATATTTTAACAAATACTGACGAGTGGTCTTAACCATTCATAAAATCTATTTAAAAATAGGTATTGATCAAGCTTCATGGTGGAATTAAATTTCTGCAAGGTAAAAAAATAAAAATAAAAAATAAAAATAGGTATTGATTCTTATGGTAGTATTTGGAAATGATTTAGTTCTTTATGTGCTATATTGTAACTATATTTAAACCTTCCAACCAGATGGTATGTTTTCTACTGACTTCTTTTTAACCTGAAGAGAATTCTTGAGCCATGTTTCCAAATAGCTACCACTTAGTATTTAGTCCATGAGCATACTTCGAGTCTGGACTGTATAGTCACTTTGTAAAAATCCAACTAAGAGTCGATCTGCATTTACTAATCTAATTGTAGTTGCTGATATTTTAATGAGGATCTAGTCTTTTTAGTCTGTCTCTTGTAAAATCCCGCGTTTTGTTCCAGGTAAACTACAGATAGACATTAAACAAATGCCCCCGAGGATTTCCACATACCATTATTTTTATTTAAGAGCACCTTCATAGAATGCTTAATTAAAATTGAGTTCCAAATATTAGCACTACTCCTCAGGGTTACTGACAGTTTTTTTGTTGTTTTTGGTTTTTTTTTCCTGATTTTTTTTTATTCTTATGTTAATCCCCATACATTAATTACATCATTAGTTTTAGATGAAGTGTTCCATGATTCATTGTTTGTGCATAACACCCAGTGCTCCATGCAGAATGTGCCCTCCTCAATACCCACCACCAGGCTAACCCATCCTCCCACCCCCCCTCCCCTCTAGAACCCTCAGTTTGTTTTTCAGAGTCCATCGTCTCTCATGGTTCGTCTACCCCTCCGATTTCCCCCGCTTCATTCTTCCCCTCCTGCTACCTTCTTCTTCTTTTTTTTTTTTCTTAACATATATTGCATTATTTGTTTCAGAGGTACAGATCTGAGATTCAACAGTCTTGCACAATTCACAGCGCTTACCAGAGCACATACCCTCCCCAGTGTCTATCACCCAGTCACCCCATCCCTCCCACCCCACCCCCCACTCCAGCAACCCTCAGTTTGTTTCCTGCAATTAGGAATTCCTCATATATTGACAGTTTTTAATGGTGTATTTATTCCAGCAGGGTTTGTAGGAATATTTTTTTAACTGGGCTTTCTTTAGAAATTAACTTTAATTTTGGAAGAAGAGGATAGAATAGGATCAATGTAGTCCCTGCCTTCACTCAGTTTGGTCTAATGGATAATTCCAACAAGAAAATAAGCAATTATAATATGATATATGGTAGGGATAGACTAAAATGCATTTATAAATGTTAAATGCCTGCCATATGCCAGAAACTAACGTAGAAATGCAGGGAGATTGCTCCAAAATATGTATTTAGAATCCTCTCTTTCCTGGATTTCTGCAGGAGTAGAATGTTGCCTGTATTCTTTCTGAATTTCCTAAAAGCCATTCTCCATGGAGTGGCTGCTTAAAATCCTTCTTTTGTCTCATTGTGTATGAAGGTCTTAATGATCTGGCCCCTAGCTATTTCTCTAACATCTCAGACCATTCTCTATGTTTACTATGTTCCAGCCACATTCATTTTTTTTCTGTGTCTTTAACAAAGATCCTATGCATTTCAGATCTTTCTACTTGCTGGTTCTTCTGCCCAGAAACTTCCAGATCTTTGCATCTCAGTTTCTTCCCATTTAGATTTCACTATAAATATTGCTTCTTTATAGAGATATTCTCTGGTAACTCAATCTAATGTTTAAAGTTGCCTCCCAACCATATGATCTTTGCAATAGATGCAAAAAAAAGATTTGACAAAATGCAGCATCCTTTCTTGATTAAAACGCTTCACAGTGTAGGTACAAAGGGAACATACCTCAATATCATAAAAGCCATTTACAAAAAGCCCACTGTGAATATCATCTTCAATGGGGACAATCAGAGCTTTTCCCCTAAGGTCAGGAACAGGACAGGGATGTCACTCTCACCACTGTTGTTCAACATAGTACTAGAAGTCCTTGCCTCAGCAATCAGACAACAAAAAGAAATAAAACGCATCCAAATCGGCAGAGAAGTCAAACTTTCACTCTTCGCAGATGACATGATACTCTATGTGGAAAACCCAAAAGACTCCACCCCAGAATTGCTAGAACTCATATAGGAATTCAGCAAAGTGGCAGGATATAAAATCAATGCACAGGTATCAATTGCATTTTTATACACTCAGAAGAAAGAGAAATTAAGGAATCAGTCCCATTTACAATTGCACCCAAAACGATAAGATACCTAGGAATAAACCTAACCAAAGAGGTCAAGGATCTGCACTCTGAAAATTATAGAACACTCACAAAAGAAATTGAGGAAGACACAAAGAAATGGAAAAACATTCCAGGGCACCTGGGTGGCTCAGTCGTTAAGCGTCTGCCTTCGGCTCAGTTCATGATCCCAGGGTCCTGGGATCGAGTCCCACGTTGGGCTCCCTCCTCAGTGGGAAGCCTGCTCTCCCTCTCCCACTCCCGCTGCTTGTGTTCCTGCTCTCGCTATCTCTGTCTCTGTCAAATAAATAAATCTTTATTAAAAAAAAGATTTTAAAAATAAATAAAAAAAACATTCCATACTCATGGATTGGAAGAACAAATATTGTGAAAATGTCTTTGCTACCCAGAGCAGTCTATACATTCAATGCAATCCCTATGAAAATACCATCAACACTTTTCAAAAAGCTGGAAAAAATAATCCTAAAATTTGTATGGAACCAGAAAAGACCCCGAATAGCCAGGGGAATGTTGAAAAAGAAAAGCAAAGCTGGTGGCATCACAATTCCGGACTTCCAGCTCTATTACAAAGCTGTCATCATCAAGACAGTATGGTACTGGCCCAAAAACAGACACATAGATCAATGGAACAGAATAGAGAGCCCAGAAATGGACCCTCAACTCTATGGTCAACTAATCTTCAACAAAGCAGGAAATAATATCCAATGGAAAAAAGACAGTCTCTTCAACAAATGGTATTGGGAGAATTGGACAGCCACGTGCAGAAGAATGAAACTGGACCATTTCCTTACACCACACACAAAAATAGACTCAAAATGGATGAAAGACCTAAATGTGAGACAGGAATCCATCAAAATCCTAGAGGAGAACACAGGCAGCAACCTCTTTGACCTCAGTCACAGCAACGTCTTGCTAGACCAGTCTCCAAAGGCAAGGGAAACAGGGAAAAATGAACTATTGGGGTTTCAAGATAAAAAGCTTTTGAGGAGGAGGAGCAAGATGATGGAGGAGTAAGAGATCTAAATTTCGTCTGGTCCCAGGAATTCAGCTAGATAGGGATTAAACCTATCTAAACCTATTAAACCTATCTAAATCTGAACACCTACGAACTCAACAGGAGATCGAAGAATAATAGCAACTCTCTGAACAGAAAAGCGACCACTTTCTGGACGGTAGGACGTGCGGAGAAGTGAATCTGAGGCGATATTCGGGAAGATAGATGGCGGGGGAGGGGGCCTCTGTCAGCCACTACCTGCAAGTGATAGAGCTGCAGAGCACAAAATCGGGACTTTTAGAAGTCTGCTTCACTGAGGGAGGTTGCTCCAGTGGCTAAGCGGGGGGTGGAACCCTCACTGGGACAATGTAGTCTCAGGATCCTCGGAGTCACAGAAAGACCAGGGGTACCTGAGTGTGGCAGAGCTCCCAGGTATTGGAGCAGGGAAGCCAGCTGTAGAGACAGAGCCGAGGCGTGGGCTCTCAGCTCGGGGTTGCCATAAACTGTGATCCGCGGCCCAGTCGGGCCACTGCTTCTCCAGCAGGGACCCAACAAGTGGCAGATCCACAGAGACTCCCCTTCCTCCCCCGGGAGAAGTGGCACAGGAGCACACTGCGGGGATCTGCTGGATTTGGAGACTCCACACTGAGTTGGGTGCCAGAGATAGAAACGCTTGGTCACAGGCCGGGTGAGCATGGAGTGCGGCCGGAGACCAGGGAGACGGGAGTGATTGACTGCTTTTCTCTGGGAGCTCACTGAGGAGTGGGGCCCCAAGTTCTTGGCTCCTGGGGTGGAGATTGGGAGGCCACCATTTTCACTCTCGTTCTCCAAATCTGTATGGAAAGCTCGCAGGGAACAAAAGCTCCCAAGAGCAAACCCGAGCAGATTACTTAGCCCAGACCCGGCAAGGGCGGGGCAAGTCCGCCTCCAGCAAAGACATTTGGGAACCACGGCAACAGGCCCTTCCCCCAGAAGATCAGCAAGAACAGCCAGCCAAGACCAAGTTTACTGATTAATGAGACCGGCAGAACACCAGCACTATGGGAATACACACATAGAATTCATGGCTTTTTCCCCCCTGATTCTTTAGTCTTTCAAAGTTAATTTTTAAAATTTTTTTTTCTTTTTCTTTATTTTTTTGAAGTTTTCTTTTTCCCTTTTTCAACCAGCATCTTATCCCTTTTTTTAAAAATCTTTTTTATTTTTCATTTTTAGAGTCATATTCTATCCCTTCATTGTAGTTAACCTTATTTTTGGTATATAGGTTTTTCTCTCTTTAAAATTTTGGGTTACAGTTTCTTCTAACAGACCAAAATATACCCTAAATCTCTAGTGTATGGCTTTCTTCTAGTCTCCTGCCTGATCACATTCTCTCCTT